CCGGGTCTCTGTGTGTTGTAGCATGGAAGTTGTCGAACAGGCGTGAAGCAACTGTTGATTTCGTTCGAACTGCTGATTCTAGCCCCGGGAAAAGCCTTACCAATGAAAACCCCTACGACAAGCAGGTGGAAAAGGAATTCAGGTCATTTTTTCCACTCGGCCCAAGTTTTACTCGTCTCTGCTGCTGGTCAAGGGTTCGGATAAGAAAGAGCTAATGGTGAAGTAAGACACCCACCGGCTGATGTGCAAGAATATTGCGAATCAAATTCCCGTCCAAATACAGCTGGGAATATTAACCGGAACCTTGTAATCCATCGCCATCACCCGTTCCTCCTACTGTGCAGTTTCGACCTATTCGGTGCGGAACCGTTTTCTGCACTTGGGCTGTGAGCTTTGGTTATTATAGTTGGGCGGTGTCCCGAGCGGTGTCCATTAATTCCGTTTCGCTAAAAATCAATATTTTTGACCCCCCCCCCGGTTGGAAAAAAACGTTACACTGAAAATGACCTCTCTCTATTTATTACGTAACGCTCTATAAACCCCCCTCCCTGCCTTTTATTTAATTAATTTTTGATTCCGTTTCGTATTTTTTATTTTTAGGTAATTAATTATATTATTAATATTCAAAACAAAAACAAAAGATCAGAGTACCATCGAGTACCTGCTTTTCAAAAGTTCAAGGATAGCAAAAATCTCAATTTATAAAATTAAAACAGATCCATTTTGCAAAGCAAGATTTAGTGATGACAGCCTTCGTTATTGTACCAAAAACGTCAAAAAAGACCTGTATTTTCAAACTTTACATCAAGAAACGAAAAAAACAAAATGTTCTCTTTGTTACGTAACGCAAAGCTTTACTACTCCTCCCCTATGTATAATTCGTAACGATATAGGTGACACCCTCTCCTCCTAAAAGCGTTACGTAATTCATGGACGCTTCATTGCAGAAAATTTTTCTTCTTTTAACACCTATCCTCTTCGCGTTCAGACTCGTATCCCTCTGAAATTTTTTAACCCTCTCACATCACATCAATTGTCTGATCTAGATCTATTCTCATCTATTTTTTCTATTGGAAGATTGCCGTAAAAGCTCAACGCAGATGTCGCCACTGCATGATGATGATAATGTTGACAGACTGCATATAAAATTCGTGAAAATTAGCGTTAAATCATAATTTTCATGAAGCCTGTGTAAAATCCTTCCAATATAACATTCGAATTGAAGAAGAAAACGTTTTTACGATCAGACTGACGTGCATCTTTGACTTTTCCAGATGAACTTTCATAAGATATATTCATTTCATTTTGCGGCTCCATCAATGCTGCATCGTAAATATGATGTAAACAGAGGTAAATTACTCAATTACTCAAAATAAAGATGATTTGTCATCTTGTTATCACTTTGAAAACCATCTAGCACCATTTTATAGTATGGTGTGTGTTGAGTAAATCAAGTTCCGTTGCGTTTTCCGCGAAAATTGTGAGTATCAATATGTTTGCTTAGAAAAGGCCAAAATGAACATTTATTGAATATTGGCGTCCTATACAACCAATTTTCCATTACCACCAGCATGATACAACCTTTCCTAAGTAAATTCACGTAATTTACACTTTCATCTTAGTGGAAATCGCACATATTCACCATTTTCTGAAAAATGCAGCTGCGCAGGAGGTAACCTCTTGCTGTAGGTGTAAACTTGTTATGCATTATTTTCCATGAAAGCATCTCCGATCCATACCGAAATAATAACAATTAGTTTTCAAACACGTTTCCTTACACGATTCAAACAAAAATTTCCACGGGAAATTGTTAGTTTTTCTTTATGGACCGATTTGTCCCAAAAATTGTCTGTTTTACTTGGAAAATTTGGAAACTATCCTCCTTCTAGTAGTTCTCACTTCGAAATGTAGGAGGCGAAAGCTTGGAAAAGTTTCACTCTAGGGGAAGTACAACTTGATCTGAAGTTATATTTGATGTAAAAATTGCTCAAATTGGTATTTATTATAATTTTTAGTATAAATATTAATGATATTAACTGTCAAGCGGAAAGCTTAAAAGTAAAAAAAAAATAACAGTGTAACTTTAACGCATACACACAAAAAACAAAAATTGTATCAATAAAAATGATGCGTTTTCAAAATAAAAGTTTTCCAGCTTGGATAGTTTTAACAATGAAAGTTTTTAAAACAAAAGTATTTGGTTTGGTTTGAAAATGTATTTTTCACTTTTGACTTGTATTTTTAAAAGCGCCTATTTTTAAAATGAAAATTGTTTAACTGTCAAAAATACCTTGTCATAGCAACGTTTTTGGCAGCACTGGACATACATTTGCCGCCAAATTTAACCTTAAAGTCAAAAGACGCAAATCATGTTCCTTGTGTGGAATGAAACTGAAAATCAACATTAAGTCCGCTGGATATTTCAGGCAATATTTTTACTATTGTCGGCGAGATTGTCGGTTACGGAATCCACTGTGACATCGTTAATTAAAATTGTAAGTATTTAATTATCAATGTTATTGTGTGAAGTTATTTAGTTTTTTTTTTTTCAGACGATGAAATCTACCAATGAATAGATCCGAATCAACCCTAGAATCAACAGTCAGCCGAAAAAATCCACCTGCAACTTTATGATGTCGCAATACGATTACAACGATTTTCTACTCACTGAAAACCTGCGGATGATGTCTTCCAAAACCCAGCATAATTAATATATTTGTATTCATGTGGATAGTAGTAATAAATATAGTTGTAGTTCTTTTTTTAATTTATGAAACATTTTTTACTATCGATTGAATGAATATTTATTAGAATTTAAAATGAAAATTAATATTGCAATGTTGAAAATGCTTGTATTTTAATTGAAAATATTTTTATTATAGATTCAAAACGGCACATGTTATTACAACTTTACCAAACTTTCATGACAAAAGTTTGATTTGATACAAAAATAATCCACTTTTAATTATAATACTATCATGTTTTTCTTTTGACAGTTCTACAATTCGTTTTTAAAGTTTCAACTTTTAAAAGTAGCATGCGAGGAATTTTTGAATTGACAGTTAGCTGATTTTTGTTTTGAAAGCTAACCGCTTTCTACCAAAAAGAACCAATGCAAACTTTCAATTCTACCAATGGTATTTTTAATTTTAGCAACGGTTTTTCTTTGTGTGTACACTCAATGACGTTGCACCGTTGTTGTTGATGTTTACTGCAGCTTTCTGTTTGTCATAATTTTTGCCTATACATATTTTCGTTTTCGATAGCTCTGATCGATTTCGACTTCGGCTTTTCATGATAAAAACGGTACTGGACGTTCCCCCAGCAACAAATCTCTCTAAGTTGCATGCTCATGGCGAATCGAGCGTAATACAACTACGGAACCATCACTTTGGGATTCCGTTAACAGGGGCGGCGTTGTCAATCGATTCAAGTTCCATCGGAGAACTGCACAATGGTTCACAGACGATGAAGAATTCGTGGAAATTAATCCCTGGGAATGGCCGATTATGTGCACTGAGCGAGGGGGGCGACACATCTAAATCTCAAGTTTAGATGGTCAACAAATCTCACACTAGCGAATCAATCTTCGAACAATCTTCTTTCATTTGTCGCATCTACTTGCATCGCTCATCAATTTTTTGCAGAAAATCTTCAGAATCGTCATCAATCTTCTTTCTATCTACTCAGCGTGCGCGTAGCTAGCCACGGCAAAACACAATCTTTTTTGCATCGTAGATAGAGTCGTCCCCCTCGGCACTGAGAACAGCTACCAAAAAATGCTGAATTTATGAGAACAAGGAGCGGATTTTGGTGGCGGTGGCCAGGAATGATTTGCCTATCATGTGGAATAAATTTTCGATTAAACGAATGTCAAATGTACACTTAAAACAAAAATAGTCAAAAAGAAACAAAAAACAACTGTCAGACTAAGTATAAGATTCGCAAATATCACACATATTAAAATATTTAATATTTCTACCATCGGTATTGATAGTGATACTTGGAGCTGTCCTTCCCCTAGGTTTCACTGCAAGACGCCAATCCCTGCTCTATTTTCGTCATCACGACACACTCAAAAAAATCCCATCAATTATGTTTTTCCCCGAAAATCCCAAGTAATTACTAGACTGCAAAAATACATCCAAATGAGTGTCGTTCCCCCTGGACAACCCTAATAAACGCGTACAATATACTAACGATATCTTAGATGGTGCGACCATACCACATAAAATTGGGATGATATCGCGAATTGGTGGTTAGGCGCATCTTATGGTTATTGTTTATGCGGGAAGTCCTATACCAACAGCAGCGTTTGACAGTAGGCAGCATGTCCCGGGCTCAAATAGTTTATTTTGCTGTGCTGGGCCCGCTGTCACGGTATAACATGTTGCCTACGCAGTTTACACGTTTTATGAGTAGACCCCTTTTTCACGAAATGTGTGAAATTTTACACATTAATGTGTTTACGCTATAGTCGCTATATTCATAGTCTGGCGGATAGAATTTCGATCTAACAAAAAGCGGAACCATTTCAATATATTGTAGACCAACAATTGAAAAGGTGCTATCAACTTTTATAAACAAAACGTTGATTATTCTTTCCTCGCCAATCGAAGGTAAATTACCAGCATCATCGGATAGGCAAGACTTTCCACAACCTAAAAATGGCGTTAGTTTGTGGAGCTGATCCTTTAGTCACGAGAAAACGGTTTCCGAAATTTTGTTCGCAATAACTGATGTGCTCTTTTCTGTTGTTGGTCGTGATTTGCTCGATTGGCTCCGCTATTTGACAGCTCAATTGGTTCCCGAGATTCTATCCGCCAGACTATGAATATAGCGACTATAGTTTACGCTGGTTACCGTGCATAATCCTCAATTTTCCGTTCCCCCGTTCGTAGTTTGACAGATCGCACCGCAAACTATCTAAGCCGCTACTGTAGCTGTCAACAAACGATCGCAAAAAAAAACTGAAAAAAAAACTTTTCTCCGTCGTCAAAACGATAAAACGCCATTTTGCATGTGCCGCTAGTTTGAACTGGGAAAAATGCTAAACAAGTCAGGAAAATAGTGAATTTTCGGGTGAAAATCCGACCGCTTACCGTTTTCCGGTGTAGTGCTTCTGGTGTGCTATGGTGTGATCGTGGAGGCTGTTCCGAACTTGGCCTTTTCCGAGTGGTATTATCAGTGCTAAGTGCGTATAGATGTTGCAGGGTGGTGTGTGAGCGAAAAAAATTGGGCTAGTGGAAAACAAAATTTGTGAAGGAAAAACATTTTGAAAGAAGCTCTTCAGTATCGATTAGCAGAAGAATAATCTGGTTTTGATAACGTGCTATTGAAAAAACAAAAATTGGTTATCAAGATGATGTTTACGGTAAGTTATATGGTAATCATGTTGGTTAAGGGAAAATGAACATTTTTACACGGTTGCAAAGCTTTTAATTAGCCGTAATGCCGATTATGAAATCGTGTATTTATCTGTACACGTCTAGAAGAAGAATATCGACGATTTTGTTTTCTATTGCTTTATCCAGGGCACCAACCAGCAGCAGGACACGCGCTTCAGCGATAAGGAGAAGAAGCTGCTGAAGCAGATGAAGTTTGGAGACAACTTAAACAAGCGTGTCGACATGTCTAAAGTCAAGCTGGATGTACTCCGTCCTTGGATCAGCAAGAAGATAACTGGTATGTTGAACATTGAAGACGACGTCATTGTCGAGTTTGTTTACAATCAGTTGGAAGAGGAAAAGTATCCTTGCCCGAAGAAGATGCAGATCAATATGACCGGTTTCTTGAATGGGAAAAATGCTCGCGTCTTTATGGAAGATCTCTGGGCTTTGCTGTTGTCTGCGCAGGAATCTGATTCAGGCATTCCGGCGGAATTCATCGAGCAGAAAAAAGATGAAATCATGAAGAGGGAAGAGGATTCCAAACTTCTAGATGAAATGCGATCACGAAGGTCTCGTAGTCGGGGAGGCAGCCGAGATAGAGATGATCACAGGAAGTCTAAGAAAGAGGTTCGTCCGATGTACAAACCGGAACCGGAAGAGTATCTTGATGAAGAGGAAAAAATGATTGAAGATTTCATCGAAGCCGAAGTACCTATTTCCAAGGAAAAAGAGCCAAAGAAGGTGGTTGAAGAAGTTAATCCTCCTGCCTTGAAGGAACCTTCTCCAGAGCGAAATGAAAAGAAATCACCGGAAAAACCTAAGGAATCCCACAAATCGGAGAATTCGGATAAGAACCGCCGCAAGTCCCGTGATCGTTCGCGTTCCCGCGATCGTCGTCGTTCTCGTGAGCGCCGTTCGTCGAGAGACCGGAAATCATCCCGGGATCGGAAGTCTTCCCGAGATCGACGACGTTCGCGCTCGACTCGACGGTCACCGGATCGAACCAAGAAACGCAGCCGTTCGCCAAGGGACAAGCGGGACCGTGACGTGCGGTAATAGTTGCTTGTAAGTTCTGTTTTTTTGCAGAGAGTTTAAAACTTGATTCACTCTTTCAGCAGTCGTGATAAGGATCGCAAACGTTCGCGCAGTTCATCCCGCGTCAAAAAGAATTTGGTTACCGAGAAAGCTGTTGGTAAGGTCCAACTACAGTTGCGTCGTTTGATTAAACATTCATACGATTATTACATTTCAGACAACGGAGGGTCAATTTCTAAACTTCAATCCAAATTGATGAACATGGCCGAGGGTAAGAAGATTTCTCCTGCTGCCAAGCGTCGTAGCCGTAGTCGGTCCTCATCGCGATCTAGGTCTAGGTCTCGATCTGTTAGTAAAAAGAAGACTGCAAGCCGCTCCCGTTCTCGGTCCAGGTCTAGGTCGAAGTCTAAGTATGCCCGAATAATTATTATTGGTGAAGTTGAATACAGAACTTTAAAGTCTTTGTTTATCTGCAGGGTCCGCAAGGGCAGAAAGTCCCGTTCCCGTTCGCGTCGTTCCCACAGCTCGGATTCATCACGTTCATCTTCCAGCAGTCGCAGTGGAGACCGGAAGAAAAAGTCCGGAGTCGTGGGTAAGAAACGTAACGGTAAAAGTCGCAGCCGCAGTCGGAGGAGCAGTCGCAGTCGCAGTCGCCGTGATACGTCTAGATCGCGATCAAGATCCCGTAGCAGTCGATCGTCTTCGCGACATACTAAGAAGGATGACTTCGAGATACAGAAGAAAGAAAACAGCATCCAGAAGAAACGTCACTATCGTTCGAACAAGGATTCGTCGGATTCGGAATCGGATCGAGGTGGTCGCATGCCAGCTAGGAAAGGCGATCGCGGCGGAAGGGATCGTCGCTCCCGCTCTCGTGGCCGCCGCGATGGATCGAGAGCTCAAAAAGATCGCTCCAGATCCCGGAATCGATCCAGGTCATCACGCAACCGGTCTCGCTCGAGGAATCGGTCCCGTTCACCGAGGCGCTGGTCCCGATCACCCCGGGGAGGCAGAGGACGAAACAATCGGTATGTATTTTAGGCGTTTATTTATCTCACTTTTTACGATATGAATCCATGAGAGTCACTCATTGCTACTACTTCTTCGCAATTTCTCTTATGTTTATATTCTCAAATGAACCATCATTTGATCTTGCTCCTCGTTTTTCTTTCTCTTGAAAGTGTTTCCTTAAAATTGCGACCCTCTCAGTTTGCTCAGTTAGAAAAGAAAATGCAGAATTCAGATGATGATGCATTCAAGGGGCCGATCATGTTCGGTTCCCTGTACCGATTTGTGACCGTTGCTGGCCATTCTGGTGTTCATCTGTCTACAATATTGACATGCAGTTCGAGTGATTTATGTTCATCATTGCTCGCAGCCAGTTTGGCCGTCAGTGGCGGATGATGACGGATGCAGGTTGCTTAACGGAAAGAAAGTTCTTGAACAATCCGAAACGACGTCACTGTGCAGCGGCATAGCATTTCTATCACATGACACACTTTACTGGATGCGTTCGGACCTTATTCCACACGGGACCGCACGGACTCATCATTTCTGATGCTGTTGTGGCAGAACCTTAAGGCCATTGATGACACCGGAAGCACACTGGAAATCGCCAGAACATATGACACAATCGTTACCGGACCGTTCCTGACGCCATCGATGCAGATTCTATCCGAAATTCTATCACCTCGTTCGCTTTCTATCCTGACTACACCTCACCTCACTCGCCAGTTACCTTCAGTGTCGACTTCCATGGGTTTGACTATGTAGCAGACTTCCGTCATCTTCCGGTCGCTTGATTCTGTTTGGTTTGAAGCCCACCCACACTGATTATCTTCCGTTTCTGCGACAGAGATGATGATGAGGATGATGATGATGATGATGATGATGAGGAAGAGGTAGGCCTGTAAGTTGGGCTCATTTGAGCGATTAATCTTTCGTTTTTAGTTCAAATTCAAACTACAAATCTATTGCGGCATCAATTTGTAATGTTTAAAAATTTAGCAAATCATAAACCACCACCGTCTAGGAATATGGCCGAAAGGCATCGTTGGAGCTAATCTGCAACGGACATCATCACTAACACATAGTTTTCTCACAGGGTGTTTTGAATGAACTGAAACCTATTATTTATTAAGATTCTTTCCCATATTTACCGAGAAATTATATACGAAACTCAAGGGCTTTAATTCTCGGTATTTCAACGACCAACCACCATATTCTGAACCGCGTCAAAGTGCGCCACCATTATTACTTACCTGTTATAGTATGATGTACACTCAACCCTTTTTTGCGAGGGTAAAAAATGTACCCAAGTTAGTCAAGTTAGGAAATTTCTGTAGGTACCATATTTTTCTTTGTTTTTTTTTCTGATTTGACAACAGTTGCATCAAGCTTGGTTTTAGTTGAACATATGAAAAATGAAAAATAAGACCACTTAAAAAAAGGGTTGGGTGTTATAAATAGCACCTCGCAGAATTGTATTAACCCTCCGTTACTCTCGCCAGCTTTTGTAACACGAGTACTCGCGCGTTGTACTTTGTACAACAGTGTGAGTTTTCCATTGCCATTTTGTAGCCGAGCTACCAATCGATATGAAACCAACGGGTATTCCTTAAAAAAATTGTTTTTAACTAAACAAGCTAAACTTTTATCACAGTCACCCCCAAAAATGCGGATAATAGAGAAAATGTGAATGGAAACCGTGTAAACGGTGTCCGTACTACGTGGGATTTGACTTAATTGATAACAACATGGACAATCTCGAGATCCTGACCAGATAGAAAGTTACTGTCTTCGGCAAAGTTGTTCTAGAGATCATAACCTAGAAGACATGTAAAATTATCGCATGTGATGTATCTCGAGCTCATGACCAGATAGAAAGTTACTGTCGTCGACAAAGTTGTTCATGAGATCAAAGCATATTTCTTGGAACACAATAGTTCAAAATTTTCTCAATACGCGGCACTAAAGGGTGATACGGTCAAAATTTGGTCAAGGGAAAACGCGTGTAAATCGGTGAAATCGTTTATTTAAAAAATCAAATTAAATTTCTTTTTCAAGTTCAATTAGTATAAAATTCAGGAAAAATATTCAGTTAGGCTTCCGCTTTTCCAAATCCGAATTGCCGGGCCTTACGTTTGACCCCTGCCATCAGATTTTGTACAGCCACCTTGTCCACCTTCTTCGCCGCAGAAAGCCAGTTTGCCTTGAACTGCTGCTCGCCCTTAGCAGTTTTTTGGTCTTCTTTAGGTTCCGCTTGACAATAGCCCAGTATTTCTCAATTGGGCGGAGCTCTGGCGTGTTGGGAGGGTTCTTGTCCTTGGGAACCACCTGCACGTTGTTGGCGGCGTACCACTCCATGGCCTTTTTACCGTAATGGCAAGATGCCAAATCCGGCCAAAACAGTACGGAACAACCGTGTTTCTTCAGGAAAGAGAGCAGACGTTTATTCAAACACTCTTTCACGTAAATTTCTTGGTTGACAGTCCCGGAAGCTATGAAAATGCTGCTTTTCAAGCCACAGGTACAGATGGCTTGCCAAACCAGATATTTCTTTGCGAACTTTGACAGTTTCATGTGCTTGAAAACATCTGCTACCTTTCCCCTTCCTTTTGCCGTATAAAACTCCTGTCCCGGAAGCTGCTTGTAGTCGGCTTTGACGTAGGTTTCGTCGTCCATTACCACGCAGTCAAACTTCGTCAGCATCGTCGTGTACAGCCTCCGGGATCGCGCTTTGGCCGTCGTATTTTGTTTATCATCGCGATTTGGAGTCACTACCTTCTTGTAAGTCGATAGTCCGGCTCGTTTTTTGGCTCGATGCACGGTTGTAGACGATACACCCAGCTTATTTGCGGCATCTCGGAGAGAGAGGTTAGGGTTTCGCTTGAAACTACCGGCAACTCTCTTTGTCCTCTCAGCGGCTTCCGGTTTTCGATTTCCCCCCGATCCAGACTTCCTGGCTGTCGACAAACGTTCCCCAAACACTTTAATTACATTTGTAACGGTTGATTTGGCAACTTTTAGCAATTTTGCCAACTTTGCGTGCGAGTAGCTCGGATTTTCGCGATGCGCGAGCAAAATTTTGATACGCTGCTCTTCTTGCTTGGACGGCATTTTGACAACTGAAGAGTGAATTCCAAAATCAAAATAGGAGCAACATTCTACACACACACACACCTTCAAAATGAGGGGTGTTCAGGTTTTTTAAATGCAAAATTGAAAGAAATACGTCAAGTTGATATTGACCAAATTATGACCGTATCACCCTTTAGTATACACGTAAAATTCTCATATAAAATCTCTCGAGATTCTGACCAGATAGAAAGTTACTGTCACGGGCAAAGTTTTTCAGGAAGTCAAGATCTATTCGTTGGTGGAGTAGTTCAGAAAATTCTCGCTATGTGGTGCTAGTATATACGTGCAATTTTCGCATATACAATAGCTCGAGATCCTGAGCAGATAGAAAGTTACTGTCTTCGGCAAACTTGTTCAGGGGGTCAAGTATTTTTGGCTGGTGGAGATCCTGACCAAATAGAATGTTACTGTCTTCGGCAAAGTTGTTCAGGGAGCCAAGGCCTTTCGGCTGGTGGACTGAAATTCAATTTTTTCACATCATTGTGCTTGTATACACGTATAATTCTTGCATTTGATATATTTCGAGACCTGCTAAACTGTCATCGTCAAAGTTGTCCAGGAGATCAAAACTTTTTCGTTGGTCGATAGTACAGAATTTTCTCACTACGCGGCGCTAGGAGATCCTAAACAGCTAGAAATTGACTGTATTTGGCAAAGCTGTTAAGGAGATAAAGATCTTTTGGCTGATGAACAGTAGTTCAGAAATTTCTCAAAACTTGGCGGGTAATTCTCGCATATCAAATATCATAAAATAAAAATACAATTTACATCAGCCTAAGTGGGATAAGACAAATATATTTTGGATTTCTTTTACTGGTGAAGTTCATGCAGATTTGTGCATACATAAATTTGGGTGAGTCGTTCCACTTGTATACCTCTGATAAATTAGGTAACACGTATCTCAGATGGAAAACATTATCTTGAAAGATCAATATCGCTGAAACTTCCACCAAATGAATGTTTGGAGTTTCCCTCATTTTAGGCTAATTTCAAAATGTATTATCGAGGGGTCTAGAACAAAAAAAAAAATCCCTGTATTTACGTATGCACGGACAACGAGACTAACTCAGAGAGTGAGGCACTTTTGCGCAGTTGAATGAAGAAATTTATAAAACCGTACACTCCCGATCATAAGTTTAAGGACACCCCCTAAAAACGTCCAATTTTCGTTCTTTTTTTAAACATTTGATGATGATGATGATGATGATGATGGTCCCACCTCTTACCCCTACAAAGGTTTGAGCTGGACGATTTATCTTTAAGATAATTAAATATGACATTTTAACCAGGTTGGCAAACAAAATCGAACTGGTTTCAGTTACAGATATAAATTCCCTCTAGAGTTTACAGTTGCTTCACAGCGATATAAATGTTGAAAAGCTCAGGCGTCCACCTCTTAGTTCGCCTTTTTGTCCACCTAAAATATTCATAAGTATTACAAGCAATCAAGAGTTAATGAACAATCAACAAAGCATCCTATTACACTAGTAACCCCGCAATCTGATGCTATCATAATTTTCAGCAATGTCAGAAATGCTCACGAACCCCCAACATTTGCCAGAAAACTTACTACTAACTCAAGGTATCTTCCAGATAAGCTTCAAAATTGCATTTTTTTTTAATCAAATCAGTGCTAACATTTGAAAACGGCACAAAAGCCATTTGTAAACAAATGGTTTGTGGGCCCTTTACTCACTACTTGAAGTACACCCACGCGACACAACAGCAACATCGGGTAGGGGAAATTTTCCCCTTCCTGACGATGCTGTTGGTTTGCGTGGGCGTTCTTCGGGTAGCGAGTAAAGGGCCCACAAACCATTTGTTTACAAATGGCTTTTGCGCCGTTTTCAAATGTTAGCACTGAAATGTTAAATTCAGTCCTCTATAT